ACTGTATATGTCAGGCTACCCACTGTATAAGTCAGGCTACCCACAGTCAGGCTACCCACTGTATATGTCAGGCTACCCACTGTATAAGTCAGGCTACCCACTGTATAAATCAGGCTACCCACTGTATAAGTCAGGCTACCCACTGTATAAGTCAGGCTACCCACTGTATAAATCAGGCTACCCACTGTATAAATCAGGCTACCCACTGTATAAATCAGGCTACCCACTGTATAAATCAGGCTACCCACTGTATAAGTCAGGCTACCCACTGTATAAGTCAGGCTATCCACTGTATAAATCAGGCTACCCACTGTATAAGTCAGGCTACCCATATTATAAGTCAGGCTACCCACTGTATAAGTAAGGCTACCCACTGTATAAGTCAGGCAACCCACTGTATAAGTCATGCTACCCACTGTATAAGTCAGGCTACCCATTGTTTAAGTCAGGCTACCCACTGTATAAGTCAGGCTACCCACTGTATAAGTCACATTTATAGACTTGCAATAGGTCACTTTTCGAAAGTTTAACATGTCTCAATTTGAGACCATTTTTAGATCACAGTTTGAGACTCGTTGGTCAAATTTTAAAACGATCAGTCACATTTTGAAACAATCAGTCACATTTTGAAACGATCAGTCACATTTTGAAGCCAGCTGTACACACGTTGAGGCATTAAAGCTTACAACAACATGAATTGGATTTTTTTTCTGTTAAATAATTTGGCCCTATAATGGATTTATATCAGCATAATAAAATTGATCACAAAGTCTAAGTTTTAATTTTTTTATTTTTGTGAGTGCCTGAAAACTTTACAACGACAGCCAATTGTTTGAATCACGTGAAAGTAAGGGAGATAATATCTCATCTTTTGTTGACTTCCCTTGCTGGGTTTTCATCTCCTTGTGGGTCTTAAAGTACTACTAGGATGGGTGTGGGGGTGGGGGGGGGGGGGGTGATCTTGTATCTTGTGGTAGGTGTCTTCGAAGAAATTAAGAGTTTCCAAGTAAACGATTTGTTTGGTTGTGGTGGGGGGGGGGGGGATTTGTGAATGTGGCTGTTGTCTGAATAGTACATGTACATACACACACTCATACACACACACACACTTACAAACACATATTTTAAAATAAAGGAAGAAAATTGGTTCCCCCCCCCCTTAACTGCATCCCCTTTGTGACGTCACAGTTATGAAAAACACGGATAATATTAGCGTTACTTTATCAGCTTGTTACTTCACCAGACAATATTTGTCTTACTTCTCCAGATAATATCAGTGTTACTTCACAATTGGTTACTTCACCAGGTAATGTTAGTATTACTTCTCCGTTATTTTACCAGATAATATCAGCATTACTTTACCAGCCAGCTTGTTACTTCAGCGGATAATGTTAGTGTTACTTCACCAGATAACATCGCTTTACTTCATCATCCGGGTGTCGATGAGTCAGGTCACGTCAATCAACGACGTCATAGTACTTGACGGATCAGTGAGCATGTGACGTCAGTTTGCATCTGGTCTAGAGAAATCATCGATTTTCCCACCTGATTAGATATCAGAACTTGGCTGGTCGTCGGAAGGTGTTGGGTGGAGGACAGAGTAATTTTTTAGATGGGGGTGGGGCTGGTGTAAAGGGGAGGGGGAATCACGAGTTTGTGTCTGCAGTTCAAGATGAGTCATAGTAGATCCGGAAATTTAATCCACCCGGAAAATCACGACCGGATCTAGATTGTATAAAGAACTTTTAGCTCGAAGTGAACATGAGACGCAAGGCACGCAACTGCGTAGCCATTTTGCCAGGGTGACTAGTGACTAGGTTATACATTCAGCCATGCTTACTAGCGGCTAAATTAACCATTTAGTCAGGATAATTAGTGACTAGGTTAACCATTAAGCCTCGAAGAATAGCTCTAGACCAGACCATCTCTGTTACGTAACAGCGCAGTGTACAACTTGATTTCAACACAAAAACCCCCAATCATGTAGTCACACGTCACACATATATTTAAACGTACAGATATGTGTACAGACACAGCTATATAAATATATATCTACAGCCATACATACAGCCATAACTTTTAACAAAACGTTTTATAAATTTGTACATATTTTTTTTACATAATTTTTAATAGCTTTTCCAATAACGTTTTACATAATGTTTTACATACCTTTTTACATACACTTTTACATAAATAACTTAGGGGCGTGGCCATGCTGACTACGCATGCTATAAGGCTGGTGACCAATAGCAATAATCATGCTTTTTAAAATTCAAATTTTGTTTGCCACACCCCCCTCCCACCGGAGCACGTCCACTGCCCCCCTCCCTCTCACCCGGATAAAATATCAATGAAACATAAAATATAAAAACCATATATAGTTCATTGATAGTTCATCTACCGTAACCCTACCAAACCATAACTAAAACCCACGCCCTGGGGACAATAAGCCAAACCCAAAGTGAACTACAAAGTGCGTCGGGACTAATCAACGATTATCAACCCAACTGTTAAGCTTTTGTTGACTACAATTATCACGTGACTATGGGATTAGTAGGTTCGTGCTGTTTTCTCCGATCCGCTTGAGTGAACAAAAACAATTGAATCATCAAGGTATCCGCACACCATCTAAATCCTTTGGTACCCTTACTTTATCGACTGTCTTTGTATTCAGTCTGTCTGCTTGTTTGTTGTTTTAGTCTCAGGTTTAAAAAGTTATAATGAGTTTTATTTTCAGCTATATCCTGATCTCCATGTATTGCGTATTTTTATCATGAGCCTTTGAGAACTTTTGATGAATCAATGCCGCTGTTAAAAACAATTGAATCATTGAATTTTATCGTCACACGATCTGTACTCGCCATTCGTGACTTATCAGTTGTCTCCCTGTTTATTTGTTTTTGAGTTCTCTCCCTGTAAGTTTATTTTTAAGTTGTCTCCCAGTAAATTTATTTTTAAGTTGTCTCCCAGTTTATTTGTTTTTGAGTTCTCTCCCTGTAAGTTTATTTTTAAGTTGTCTCCCTGTTTACTTGTTTTTGAGTTCTCTCCCTGTAAGTTTATCTTAATTAAAGTTGTCTCCCTACTTATTTGTTTTTGAGTTCTCTCCCAGTAAGGTTATTTTTAAGTTGTCTCCCGTTTTATTTGTTTGACAGTTATCTCCCTGTTGATTTATTTTTAACTCATGTAAAAACAAAATTCAACTGTACTGTATAGGCTCTATTATAAACAATAATTTTTTTTTAAAAACGTTTTTTTTAGTTGTCGCGGCAGACGAAAGCTTCAAGTTACAAACTGAAGTATTTCATTGTATCACAACCTATTTAAATTATTTCGAAGGTCGCGGGTAGTATTGCAGTTTTAGATATGATAGTGTAAAAGTTTTAAATATATTTACAATTTAACTATTTTCCTTTCATCACTATGTGTGGAATTTTCCTTTGTTATGTTTTAATAGTTTTGTACTAATTTTGGAAGATTTCCTCAAGATTTATAATATTCTACGTAAACTGCAGTTTTATCTATACTACAACACTGCAAGGATGCAACTTGAACACAAGACACGAGACAATTTTAACTCAAAACCAGTGGCGAAGCTAGGATTTTGTCGTGACAGAGGGAATTGGTGATGTTTGATACCCAAAGAATTCCTTATATAGGCATATATATATATATATATATATATATATATATATATATATATATATAGATATAAGGAATTATATTGTACATGTATATACATATATAAGGATATATATTATACATATGTATATATATATATATATATATATATATATATATATATATATATATATATATATATATATATATATATATATAAACGACAACCTGAGACAAGCATGACAGGTGAGTATCCAGGTGTTGGAGACAGCAGGTGGGTAACCAGGTATCTGTGACACGGACCTGCCTGACATCCTCCTTACGTCACATCCGCCTGGATCTCCTGGCACAAGGTGTGCCGCCACACGGGAGGTCAACCTGGTTACGTAATGTCGAGACGTCACCACTATACACACGTAGGGTTGTAACCTACATTTCGCTTCGCAGGTAACTTACAGTTTTGATTGAATTCAAGGCGCAGGCAAATGTAATTCGGACTTTGTTTTTTGACCTTCCAAGTTTATTCTGTTGAGGAAACGTCTTCAATATTACCTGAGTTATTTACATTTTATTGTTTTTTATATCTATAAAACAAGACGTGCTAATAAAAACTTATAAAAACTGTTAATGATTGAAACTATGAACCATATGCACTACAAATAAATACATCGGTATATATATATATATATATATATATATATATATATATATATATATATATATATATATATATATATATATATATATATACTAAGTGTGAAACTTGTCCACATTTATCTTCAAGGTAACAGGCTGCGTCTTCTTTTTTGTGTTGTTAAAGGAAATAAAAAGTCCTAGAAGAAAGTGTTGCGAGGTCCACGCGATGGAAAGATTTGGTGCTTTCTGATATAAACCAAGTGTGAAAAAGTCTTTCCACAATATCATCGACCACAGGGAAGACGTGGTTGGTAGGCGCACCAATGCTAACCCAGAAGTCGCGAGTTTGAATCCTTCTCTGAAGTCAGAATTCTGCTCCTGAGTCCATCGAGGCCTAGAGATGAGGCGACTGTACATAGAACTGTAAACACAATCTCTTCATATGCCATCTGTCACACAAACATGTGAACTCTACTGCATCTGGTCTATCTAGCGCCTGCTCAGAAAAGGAAACGGCACGAATTGATGGGAAAAACGTATGCTGTGATTCAGTACACAGCATGGCATCATGTCTTGTGTTGGTGTTGCCATTGTTTCCCAAACCTCCTTGCTATCAGATCATTTATACTCTTGACTCTGTTAGTATTCAGCTTCACACAAATTTGTTCAATTTGTAAATTGAAAAAAAAACAATTTAAGTTTTGTATTTTTATTTATTTTGTTCATATTGATAAAGAAAACAACAAATAATTTAGATATTATTCCACATAAAACATATACAATATATAAATTCTTCAGGTTTTGTATGTCATTTGTATGTGACTACTTTTTTTTGAGCCCATACGCATGACATTAATTCTTGTGCTGGTACAAGTGGCGAAACGTCTTGTGTATTTGAAACTGTAAGTGACGTCACTTCCCGTGCATCTGCAACAGCTTCTGCTGCTCCACGGTCATGTCGCGGTCGTTGCATCGGTCACCTGAGCAGAAGCAGATGACGTCATCCCTGTGGGTCAGGCAGCCACGCCGGGGTACGGCCACCCCCCAGTAGTAACCGCTGGAGCACCCTCGGACCACTTCTGTTGAAGGAATACAAATCATTGTAAGAGTGACACAACAAAATCTTCAGAGTACGTCCTATAGGACTGCTCCTTATACAGCCAGGCGCGATCCAAACACTGGCTCACAGAGTTTCTTCTAGGCATCTCTTCGGGGGGGGGGGAGGGGCGAAGCCCCCCGAATTTTTTTTACCCCCCCCCCAACGAAATGAAATTTATATAATTTATATAGAAAATATATACTTTTAACAGTGTCCGCCCGCCCCCCCCCCCTCCGAAAGAAAATCTACCGCCCCCCCCCCCCCCCGAAAATCTTGAGACCACAGTCCAGTTCATCCACGAAGTTGGACTTGTTTAAATCCTCCACCATAAACACAATTAAGAACGCAGAAGAAGAAGAATTATAAGAGTTGTTCATCTTCCAAAGTTGATTTAACCTGTCCACTTATGTAAGGCTGTTTCTAAAAATTAAAAGCTGTGCAAGCAGTTAAATTTAACAACTTCCCCTACATTTCTTTAAAAAGTTTTGAATACAGTAGAAAAGCCAGTAAAAACCCTTGAAAACCAGTAAAAAGCCATAAAATAACAGACAGAGTTGTCGCGTACCTCCAAGAGGATGGCGTCTGACTGACGTCATACACGGGCCGTTACACTTTATGACCTGGCCCCGAGCCCAGCCGGTGACATTTCCGTTAGCAGGGCACGCTGTGTTCTGCCAGTCCCCGGCCGCCCCGCTGCTGCACTCGTAGCAGGTGTAGGGCGGCGTGCTGGGGGGAGCGGGTGCCGGTGCGGCGGTGGTGGTGGTGGTTGTGGTGGTGAGGGTGTTGTAGAGGACACATTCCCCCGGGACGTCGTACTTGAAGATGGTGCCGTCTTGAACAGAGCACAGTCTGAGTGGGCTGTAGACTAGGCAGCTCTTGTAGTTGATAGAGACTCTAGGGAAACATTGTATTAAAAACAACATCATTGAAAGTTTGGTGACTTGATTCCAGAAATTAATTAAAAATTTGAAGAATATAGATAGTGACTAATTAAAAGGTTTAAAAATAAATTCTAGTAATTATTTGAAAGCTTTGCGAATGGATTATATTAATTAATTGAAAGTTTGGAGAGTAGATTATAGTAATTAATTGACAGTTTTAGAGTACATTCGTGTTATTTATTGAAAGTTTTAAGATTTTCGGAATAAAATTGTAGATATAGAGTGAAATAAAAGTTACAGAAAGTATGCTCTAAAATTAAAGTAATTAGACCCGAGAGTAAAATTATTGGCCTATAGAACATTATACCGGGTGTGGGGGTTATTAGCTAATTATTCTGGCTATAAGTGGCATCTACCTGAGATATACCGTCATTTGTTAAAGTGTGTAGCTCTAAGCGAGTCCTAAAAGTCCCTCCCCGACTTACTAGCACCTCCCGGTCATTTGACCCCCCCCCCCCCCCCATCCTTTCCTCGAAGTACTGGCACCCCCTGTTATTTAACCCCCGACTTACTGGCACAGCCCCTGACTTTGACCCCAAACCGGATTACTGACACCCCCTCGTAATTTGCCCCCCCCCCTCCCCCGACTTACTGGCACCTTCCTCGTTATTTGCCCCCCCCCCCCCAGACTTACTGGCAACCTCCTTGTCATTTGCCCCCCCCCCCCCCTGACTTATTAGCACCCCCCTCGTCATTTGCCCCCCCCCCGACTTACTGGCACCCCCCTCATCATTTGACCCCCCTCCCTCTGACTTACTGGCACCCCCCTCATCGTTTGCCCCCCCCCCCCCCCCCCCTGACTTACTGGCACCCCCCTGTGATCCTGGGCTGTGTGGACAAGCTGATGGAGCAGGGTGAGGTGTTGTGCTGGATGTCCCTCAGGCACGGGGAGAACCTCAGGAAATCTGTTTGGGGGGGGGGGTGTGGGGGGGGGTGGAGGAAAAGATTGTGATCAAAGTTCAATGGTGAAGTGTAGAAACTAAAAGTGTTTTACCTTGAAGTTACCTGACCTGTAATGGCTGTACCTGTTTGTTAAGAGAGATCCTGATAGATCCAAAGAGAATAGGACCCGTACTGCTTTATGGATTACTATTGGATATTGTGAGTATTGGTAAATCGAAACTGAGACACCCCAACACTTAATTCTAAACTAGAAACATTGTTTGGAGTTTGTAAACGTATGCTATAAATAGTAATCACAAACTGAAAACCCAGCGAGAAAATTCGCAAATGCAGGACATGAAATTGATCCTACCGGCTTTGGTAGCATATAATTTTATCAGATCAAAACCTTGCCTTGGTAGGTGCACTGAAGTTGTTCTGATACTGGTCTGTTCATTGACCGATGGTACATTTTTAATGAGGTGGAAAGTTACCCAAGATTTTAGCCACAACACTATAAATAGACACATGTGTTTACTGAAAGATACCCTACTTCATACAACTGCGCACTGACTAAATGGACGCACGTGTTTTCAGAAAGTGACCTTACAACTGTGATATGACTGACCTCGAAATCCTGATGGTGAGCAAAAGTTCTTTAAAAACTTTCCAAAAATGACGTAAGGTGCGACCTGCAAGGGGCCGCAACCGTCGAGGTTAGGACCGACACAGCTGACGAAGTTGTAGTAGGTGCTGTGGGAAGACACACAAGGGCTCAAGTTATTTCTATCTTATAATGGCGCTTTACGGGATGGCCTAGCGATAGCGCGCTAGAATGCTAACCCGTGAGTTTCGAGTTCAAAACCGGGTTCAAGTCAGTAGAACGTCCCCAAGTCCACCCAACTCTGATGGGTACCTAACTTAAGTTAGGGAAAATAAAGGCGGCTGGGCATAGTGCTGACTATACTATCCATTCATACGCCACGTTCACAGAAACAGGTGAACTCTACTTTACTTGCCCCATGGACCGTCAGGGTCGAAAATGGAAATTTACTTTTTTCTTTTTTTTTTACTATGTTTTGGTGAGGTTTATTGCTGATAACTCGTTTCTGAGAAACCTTTTTTCTAACAAAATATGTATTTTAAAAACCAGAAAATAAAGAGGGTCTTTCAATAGGCCTGGTGAGTAGGTCACCAACCAGTTCTACGGCTCAATAAAACCTGCATGAGCCATAGAGCTGGTTGGTTACCTACTTACCAGCCCTATTAGTGTGGTTGGGTCGGTAAAGCTCATGGTGGCTAAACCGGAAATTCCCTATGACTGGGCTTAATTGCTGTTGACATTTTTGAATACGCCACAGACTTTCAATATTAGCCAGTCGCAACACTAACAAATGTTGGATACCATGGAGTTCTGATCACGTGACATAAAATCTCATACAACGATGTTTGTTGTTGTTTGAGCCATAATTAAAAGTTCGCTGATTTACGTCATGAGCCGTTAGACAATTTTATTTTGAGAAAATCCTAAAAAAGAAAAACCACATGAAAAAAAATCGGACTTACAGACATACAGAACTGTGCTGGGCTAAAGGTGATAGGGTCAAGTCCCTGCCCTCCAAGATGGCCGTCACATTGTCACGTGCTGTGGCCAGGCAGGCGTGGGCGGCGGCTCGAGACCCACAGTTCGAATCTGTGTGAGAGGGGACGCGGGGACGGGGGGGGGGTGTGTTTGATAAAATCAATGACAACTTGTAGAAAAAAATAATGAATGTTGCTGTGCGAAACTTGACGAAAATGTGTTGTGCCGTGTCAAGGTTTGGTGACAGACTAGGTTTAGCTGAATTGGCAAAGGCTAGCATCTGTCAGTGGTCAGTGGTTAGTGTCAAAATTACCGTCAAATCACCCAATAGTGACATACAACACTTCATTGTGAGAAAAAAGTAAAATTAGCACCCAACAAACTGAGGCGAACTGTCAGTTTTGCGCCCCATCTCTCCTATTTCTATATTTAGTTATTCCTTCCTGTAAAAAAAAAGTGCCCCCTCCTCCCCCAGTTGGAAAGGTTTGTTGGGCTTCTTACCATTTGATATCCGCAACAGTTTCTACTTCGGTGCCACAAAATTGAGGTAGAAAACAGTTGAATCGGTGAGTGTAGACTTGAAGTCGTTTATTTTCGTAACTTTGACTGTGCATAATTCGATACTTCAGCTCAAAATGAGCTTCTTGATTATTTTTTTTTACCCCTTTTGGCGACCCTTATACAGTCAGCGCCCTCCCTTAGCTACGCCACTGTCAACAAAATGTACGTTAAATTCCCGTCTGTTGTTTCAGGATAAGCCATCTATGTCTATAACTGTTGTAGATTATGGAGATTGGCATTTTAAGATTCTCTAATTTTGTTTCAGTAATAGAATCCTTAATGGTGGACTATAAAAAGCAACAACTTAGTTTTCAAAATTTAAAATTACTTTTTAAATTAATAGCAAACGAGCTTTTTACAACATTTTATACAAAATGCAAAACAACAAATTTATATTAATATGAATCAGCTTCTATAAAGTTAGGAAATAATTTCAAGATTCTTAATGAAAAGAGGTAATAATAACACGAATGACAAAAGGTTTTCCTAATTAGTTTAATTTATGGTAACATTGTATTACCGCATTGTTCTGCTCAGATGTTAAAATTAAAGGTCTAGACCTAGAAAATTGTTCTTGACACTCGTCATGTAACCTATTATTGCAGTTACTTCAGAAAATAATATTGGCAAATCGTACAATTTAAATAAACAATTCTTGAGTCAAGTCTTTAAAAATATTTTAAAAATATTTTTCTTATTAAAACAGAAATTAGTTGAAATCTAACTCACCTGATGTGGCGACCGACAAAAGGTAGACGAAGGTAACAAGGAACAGGCCATGTCTAAAACAGGCAACCCTGCCGTACACGGGAAAAGACATTTTTTAAACTGACTGTTTAGCCTTATTGTGCCGAGTTAAATAAGATGGACTTTAATTGTCGGCGCTTAATTAGCAGGGCGAGACCGATATAAAGTAACGTTAAAAAGGGAGGTAACGTAGCTCCACCTAGAAAATGTTTTGTTAAATTTTGACGTATGTTAAGACTAATTGTTTTAGATTAAAATTTGTAAACATAAGCACGAATTTTAATTTGTCAACATATGCGTAGGCACAGTACAGTACAGTACAGTACAGTACAGTACAGTACAGTACAGTACAGTACAGTACAGTACAGTACAGTACAGTACAGTACAGTACAGTACAGTACAGTACAGTACAGTACAGTACAGTACAGTACAGTACAGTACAGTACAGTACAGTACAGTACAGTACAGTACAGTACAGTACAGTACAGTACAGTACAGTACAGTACAGTACAGTACAGTACAGTACAGTACAGTACAGTACAGTACAGTACAGTACAGTACAGTACAGTACAGTACAGTACAGTACAGTACAGTACAGTACAGTACAGTACAGTACAGTACAGTACAGTACAGTACAGTACAGTACAGTACAGTACAGTACAGTACAGTACAGTACAGTACAGTACAGTACAGTACAGTACAGTACAGTACAGTACAGCACAGTACAGCACAGTACAGTACAGTACAGCACAGCACAGCACAGCACAGCACAGCACAGCACAGCACAGCACAGTACAGTACTAGTAAATATAATAGCAATTTAGCAAACACTTTTATTTTAAATTTGGATTAGGAGAGTCAAGGTGTTGTGGTACAGTGGTGGTGATAGGGGATGTTATATTATTTAATATAAATAAACTACAAAGCTATACCCCATTGACCACGAATGTGTATTTAATCATAGAAAAGAATTGTTGTGGCGTTCATTGTTTTATTTTCCCTGGCCACTCCGGTTAACTTCTAGGAGGAGTTTTATGGCGTTTTTTTTTAAAAAAATATTTGAATTGATAAAATGATTCAAAACGCCTTTTCAGCGGCTTATATTCCATACAAAAATATGACAATGGGTGTAATCGATGGTTCCCTAACAACTGTAATTTTTACAAATGTAACTATAATTTTATCGCTTGCTATATGTTTTTAATTTTTTTTTTTGAGTATGATTACATAGAGTTTTCAAGCTTATTATCTGTTTTTCTTATTATTCATTAAAATCAAGCAATATGTAAATTGTATTTATTTATTAAGGGAAATAACCAATAAAACAGTTTTAAAAATTAAATATTAACAATTATTTCCCTTTGCAGTGTTGTTATGAAAAAATATCTTAGACTTTTACTTATCTATTATCATTGAATTTTGATATTTAAGTACATATGTTCAATTTTTATTTGTCGCATATTTTTAAACATTCATTCTACCCATAGAACCAATAGCGAGTTGGTTGCACTAAAAGTTTTTACATTTTTCCAACGCGATCTTATAATTGTTTTTGTTTTTCCATTATTTACAAACTTTTATTTAACTCACTTCCTCGTCAGTCGTCAGTCTCTCTGTGTAGATCGAAACGCTCGAGCGAAAATTCGAACGCTTCTACTTGACAGATATGGTTCGTGATTGGTACGTAGGGCAAGACATAAAGACAATGCATCGTGAGATTAAATGTGACTTAATTGGATGCCTAATTAATTTTGTATGAATTAATTAATATTTTGACCGAATTAATAGGCATTTCTATCCAATCACATCACACGCGTCATCACGTTCAATAGGCGCGCAATGGTTTTTGGTCATGAAACTCTATTGTAAATAAAAACATGTAAAGTACTAAATTTTTTTTCATGAAAAATGTTTTAATAACAAGCTTTTATGTACTAATGCACTAAAAAGTAGAAAATAAATTTTATACTACTATTTAAATAACTATAAAGAAAAGCGTGGGTCTCTTCCTAAACATTAGTAAAGCTATTCAATAGTTGCTAAAGTTGCCCACGCTTTTCTTTATAGTTATTTAAATAGTAGTCTATAATTTATTTTCTACTTTTTAGTGCATTAGTACATAAAAGCTTGTTATTAAAACATTTTTTATGAAATTTTTTAAACATACCATTTCAAGTTTAATAATCACACAATTTTACATTAAAATAGAGCTTCTATTGTTTTTTTTTCAAACTAGAAAAAAATACATTATTAGTTTAAGTGTAACTTTAAAAAAAAAATTACAAAGTAAATGTGTCAATTTTTCAATGTAAAGTAGAACTTTTGTTACAATTATTACTTTTAGACAATGAACAAGAAAAAAAAAACAACAAGAAAGAAACTTTGATAATGTGTTTTAAAAAAAATACTGTTTAATCAGCAATGTATTTTACTATACTGTAACACATTTTCTATTTTGAGAGGTTTATTGTTATTGTCGAGTTAGTAGTAATGTATAAAATACTTTATTAGAATTTAATTTTTACGTTAAAATAATTTGTTTTTTGTCCTGATAAACTAAAAGCAAGTTTCCTCATGAAAAAGTGAAATATTCATCAATCTGCTGCTGGAGTGTGAGGGGTGTGAGGGGTGTGAGGGGTGTGAGGGGTGGAGGGGTGTGAGGGGTGTGAGGGGTGTGAGGGGTGTGAGGGGTGGAGGGGTGTGAGGGGTGTGAGGGGTGTGAGGGGTGTGAGGGGTGTGAGGGGTGTGAGGGGTGTGAGGGGTGTGAGGGGTGTGAGGGCTGTTAGTTCCAGAATGTGTGGCCACCCTGCACCATGTTTCTGGTGTTACAGCGGTCACCAGTACAAAAGCACGTGACTTCCTTCTTGTGAGTCAGGCAGCCATTGGCTGGGATACGTAGACCTGGGAACTTGCCGTCTGAACATCCACGGACCACATCTAGTAAAAATAGAACAGTAATCTTAGAATTACAAAAAAGTTTACTTTCCCTAACGAGTCAGGTACCAATTAGAGCTGGTTGTGCTCAGGGACGCTCTGCAGACTCCAGATCTGAACTTGAGAATTTAGGGTAAGTAATCGAGCGTTCTACCACTCAACCAAGCCGTCAGATATGTCATACATCAACATATTTTATGAAAAAATTGGCAACACATTATATATATATATATATATATATATATATATATATATATATATATATATATATATATATATATATATATATATATATATATATATATATATATATATATATATATATTTGGTGTGCTATGACAAATGATCTCAGGACAAATGATCTCAGACAAAATATCTCAGACAAAATATCTCACGGACAAATGATCTCAGGACAAATGATCTCAGGACAAATGATCTCAAGGACAAAAGATACCAGGACAAAATACAGCAGGACACATGATATCATGGACAAATGATCTCAGACAAAATATCTCAGACAAAATATCTCACAGGGAAATTTTAATAGTATGTACGATGATTTTAGTTGATTTGAACTTTCTTTTTATTGACAGTTAATATCGGTTGTTTACTTTGTGAATAAGATGAATTTGTTAACCGAACAAGCCATCAAAAATTTATTAAACTTTGTCGTAGCATTTGATTCGAAAAAGTAAAAATTATAACAAACTTACTCCTTTAGCCTGAAAGGTATATTAAATGATAATGTATAAAACAAATAAAATAATGGTTGTTATACAACCTTAAGGTTCAAAACACGCGAAATATTTTAAAAAAATGTGAATGGGACTTCAGGTTCGTAACGTTAAATTGTTGTTTTTATTGCATCATCAACCCAAACATAACGTTTACGTTTCTTTGCTTGCACGTACATCAATATGATCACACCTCTCCAATACTATGTGATCATCTATTGTGTGAACTCTTGCTCGACATGTTCGTTGTTTGTTTAAATAGGCATTTGTAACCTGATCACTAAGGTGTGACCGACTCATAAACTTTTGACTCTTGATGCTAGTTGTATTGTCCATGGAGATCGGATGTTTTTTCCTTAAGGCATGTCTCTGCCATCAAAGCGGGCGGCCACCTTGATATGAATGTGTCTCCTTATTGTTATTTCATTCCCTTTGATCTAGTTTCGTCCACCTGACATGGTAGGATTGTCTCATGTTTGGCAAGCTCACCTACGCTGTCTAACGAAAAAAATCTTAAATCTTCGTATACTATATTACTAATACTAACTTTAAAATGTTTAGTGCAAAATGACAAATTTATACGCCAAACATTTCTTACAATTATTATGTAGGCCTATAAACAATATTAAAACATAATAAACTAAACCATATGACAATCAATAAAAAAAATATTTCAGATCATCCAAAATCATAAACTACACTATTAAAATTTAGGTGTGAGAAATTTTGTCTGAGATATTTTGTCTGAGATCATTTGTCAGTGGTATCATTTGTCCTGATATATTTTGTCCTGAGATCATTGGTCCTGTCAATATATATATATATATATATATATATATATATATATATATATATATATATATATATATATATATATATATATATATATATATATATATATATATAATATTCATGTATACGCATATAAACAAATGTGTGTCTAATAATTAATAATATATACACACATATACATATATACATATATATATATATATATATATATATATATATATATATATATATATATATATATATATATATATATATATATATATATATATATATATATATTTATATATCTTATAAAAATAAAGTTTGCAACTGACTGCCTGGTGGGTGTCGCTTGACTGTAGACATGCAGGGACCCCGGCACTTGGAACGTTTGAGACTCCTCCAGGCCCAGAACTGACCACTCGCTGGACACGATGTCTTGCAGGAGGCTGAGGGCGGGCTGCTGCACTCATAGCAGATGTAGAAGGTGGCTGTCGTTGTGGTGGCTGAGTCAGAGGAGGTTGAGGATGCTGTGGTTGGTGGTGGGCTTGTCGTCGTCATTGATGGAGGTAGGCGTGTGGGTGTGGTCGTAGGTGGTTGAGGTTGTGTGGTTGTGGATGGTTGTGTGGTTGTGGATGGTTGTGTGGTTGTTGGTGGCTGTGTGCTTGTAGGTAGTTGTGTGGTTGTAGGTGGTTGTGTGGTTGTAG